TTTTTTTTAAAAAAAAAACCCAGGCATAAAACGCTGACCGAGACAGCGTTTTAGCCTGGAAGCTTAGTTTGGTAAATACTTTTGCCACGCAACCATTTTGGTTAATATTTGCCAAAATTGGCTCACTTTGGAAAAACGTCCAAACATTGAAGAGGTTTATTACATTGTTCCTCTCGCTAACTAAAATTAATGCTAGCTCTTTGTGCCCCCACAAAAAATAATAGTAATGTGATGAGCCCATGCACCATATTGTGGAAGGAATTAAGATATATAGTAATGTGATGCGCCCATGACCTTTTTAAACACCCATTTTCCCAACAATGAAGTTGTGAATTTTTTAGTATCGACATCTCTTATCATCATAAATGAGTGAAGAGTGCTTGCAAGAATGTAAAATATATTAATCCCATGAGTTTTATCTACCTCCTCCAGTGGAATCGTAACCTAGACTTTTCATTATCATCTTTGTTATACATTATATATTCAACACTCATAATAGCTTTAAGACGAAAAGTATCTAAGAAGCTAAAATTTACGTGTCACATTGTCACCAACCAACCGAAGCAAAGTGTGTCTGCAGCAAGCAACATCAAAGAAGCAACTTTGTTATATATTGTATTTTCATTTGATGAAATGCTTAATTTGAATTACGTCTCCATGAACCTTGTTAATCCAATGACATTCATCATATGTTTCTTTAATAGACTTTACAGTATTACAAACATACCATTTGTGGAAAATAAATTTATGCACAACACACAAAGTCAATACTGAGGATTAGATTAATTCGGACGGTTATATATAGGGGAGGGATCCGGTAAGAACCCATCCTTATATAAGAACCTTAGTTATATAAGAATCAATCTCATCCGTAGGATTAGATTAATTCGGACGGTTCAGATTAAAACACGTATCCTCCCTCTAACCCCTTACCCACCACCCAAAATTTTCTCTCTCTTCCTCACGTTTCTTTCCTCCTCTCTCTCTTCAAACCCCAAAAATCTCCCTAAATTAGCATGATGTTGAAGTGGATTTTGTTTTTCTTTTCGATTTTTTTGAGTTTGATTTTCGAAAATATTGGGCTCGAATTTTTGAACTGTTGATTTTTTTTTCTTTTCAATTTTTGTTGAAAAATTTTATAGTTCAATTTTTGTTTTTCTTTTCGAATTTTCGAACTGTTTTTCTTTTTTTTTTGTTCGATTTTCTATTTTTTTTGGTTCGATTTTCTTTTTTTTTTGTTCGATTTTCTTTATTTTGTGTTTGATTTTCTTTGTTTTTTGTTCGATTTTCTTTATTTTTGTTCGATTTTCTATTTTTTTGTTCGACTTTTTTTTTTTGTTCTATTTTCTTTTTTTTTTGTTCTATTTTCTTTTCTATTTTTGATTTTCAAATTATATAGTTCGATTTTTTTTTCGATTTTTGCTAATATTTTGATTTTTGTTCAATTTTAGTTCGATTTTTGCTAATATTTTGATTTTTGTTCAATTTTAGTTCGATTTTGTTTGATTTTGTTCAATTCAATTTTTGTTCAATTGTTGTGGGGTAGAGGATTGTCGTGAAAATGGAGCTATAATTGATGCCAATAATCTACTTGAAATGAAGGTGGTTAATTGGTTGTTGCGGGATAGGAGTGACGGGTGAATAGGTGGCTGATTACGGCATTGAAGGAGGTGCACAGGTGGTTATTGCGGCTGTTGCTGGAGATGTGGTGCGAAGGTGGTGTCAAATGGTGGTGTTTATGCGGAGGAAGGTAGTGTGCTGTTGGAGTTGGTGGTTTGGCTGCAATTGGTGGCAGAATAATTGTTGTTGGTGTTGCTGGTGGTGCAGGGCAGCAACTAATTACGGTTGGTGGTGTTAAAGGGGTGTTGCGAGTGGGCTGCTCGGGTGGTGTTGAAGGGGTGTTGCGAGTGGGCTGCTTGATGTGAGTTGGTGGAGTGAAGAGGGCAGCAAGCTGGTGGAGTAGGGGAATGAATTGGGGAAATGAATTATTTTCTCTATTTTGCATGAATTATTTTATCTATTATTTTATGATTTATCATTTTCATTGTTGATTTTGTTCGATTTTATATAGTTCAATTATGTTCTAAAGTTCAATAGGTAGAAAAAATTTAGAACATAGGAAAAAAAAAACTTTAGAACATAGGTAGAAAAAACTTTAGAACATAGGTAGAAAAAACTTTAGAACATAGGTAGAAAAAATTTAGAACATAGGAAAAAAAAAACTTTAGAACATAGGTAGAAAAAATTTAGAACATAGGAAAAAAAAAACTTTAGAACATAGGTAGAAAAAACTTTAGAACATAGGTAGAAAAAACTTTAGAACATAGGTAGAAAAAACTTTAGAACATAGGTAGAAAAAACTTTAGAACATAGGTGTAGAATATACGAACAACGTTAGAACATAGGAAAAATTTGGGACATGAGAAAATGATTTGCAACATAGTAAAAATTTAGAACATTGGGAAAAAAATTAGATCATAGGAAAAAAAATTGGAAATTTAGAATATTGGGAAAAAAATATTGGGAAAAAAAAATAAGGGCATAGAAAATAAGTTTAGAACATATACTAAAAATTTAGAACATAGTGTGAAAAAATTTAGAACATAAGGTGAAAAAATTTAGAACATAGATAGAAAAAATTTAGAACGTACAGAAAAAAAAAATTAGAAAATAGGTAGAAAAGATTTTGAACATAGGATAAAATTTAGAGCATACGGAAAAAATTTAGAACATAGGAAATAAATTTAGAACATAGACAAAAAAATTTGAATATAGGATATATATGTAGAACATGGACAAAAAACTTTAGAACATAAACAATAAAATGTAGAACATAGGAAAATAGTTTAGAACATATATATATTTAGAGCTTAGATTGAAAAATTTAGAGCTTAAGCAATAAATTATAGAACATATGCAAATAATATTTAGAACATATGATAAAACCTATTAGCTCAATTGGAAGAGCACTATGCAAATGCATAGAGGATGTAGGTTCAATTCCTACATAGGTTATCTTTATAAATAACTAAAAAAACTTCAAATGTTTTTTTTTTAAAAAAAAAAAATCCAATAAAACAAATTAAATTAGCACTAAGTTATATGAGCAGAAAATAAGTAGACTAAATTTAGAATATAGGAAAAAAAAACTTTAGAATATAAGTAGACTAAATTTAGAACATAGGAAAAAAAAAAATTAGAACATAGGTAAAAGAATATTTAGAACATAGGAAAAAAAAAAACTTTTAAACATAGGTAGTAAAAATTTAGAACATAGGAAAAAAAAAACTTTAGAACATAAGTAGACTGAATTTAGAACATAGGCAAAAGGTAAAAGAATATTTAGAACATAGGAAAAAAAAACTTTGGAACATAGGTAGAAAAAATTTAGAACATAGGAAACAAAACTTTAGAAAATAAGTAGACTAAATTTAGAACATAGGAAAAAAAAAATTAGAACATAAATAGACTAAATTTAGAACATAGGAGTAGGCAAAAAAATTTAGAACATAAAAGAAGAATTACAGAAATGCCATTACTAAAGGATCATTTTAGGTGGTTAGATCAAAACTAATAAAGGGCTGAGATTGGTTCTTATATAAGATTGGGTTCTTATATAGAGGAGGGTTCTTACATGAGCCTTCCTCTATATATATATATATATATATATATATATATATATATATATATATATATATATATATATATATATATATATATATATATATATATATATATATATATACACACATGTATATATATATACTTTCGTATGAAATATACATATTGAAGTATCCATATTTACTAATTAATCAATATGTTGGAAAACAATAAAAATCGCAAGAAAAAATCTACTAATTATAATCAATATGTGTCGTTCTTGGTAAGTATTATTAAGTTTCCATATTTGCTTATAGAGTATTCATTGGTTTGATATTTGCATTTCATTGTTTAAGCATGTAGCTTCTACTATAATCTTGTTGTGATAAACGTAGTATAAAATATTTCTTTCTTAAAAAAATAGTCCATAAGTCACAAATAGTGTTAAGATTTAATTTTTTTTTTCTCTTTTTTTTCTTGTTTATAGTTGTGAATACATTTTTTTTTTCTGGAACGATACATCAAATCTTTTAAATTGAATATTTTTTTTCAAAAATAAATAAATAAATAAATAATGACACACCAGAATATGACACGTGTCATTACTGGTGTGTCTTTTAGTATATAGTATTTGATACTTTTAGCTTAATTTTCTTGAATTGCAATGAAACAGGGGATACAAATGGTGGATAGCTTTAGGCTATCAGTCTCCAATCGTAGCTTTAAGCTGAAACTCTCTCAAAGTTTTCTCATCAAAATTTACATAACATCCTACTACAGTTCCCTATGATTTTAATATTACAAACATTCTATTCAAAGCAGTCCTACATTTTGTGTAGGCGCTCTCCATAGTGTCATAGTGCTTCAGCAAACTACTTTGTCACTTAGTGTTGGCTGCTGCTCCTTTTTTGTCTTGTTTCTCAAGGTGCCTCCTCCTTTGTGTGTAAACTTGCATAGGTGGCTGATTTGGTGGCCCCACCAACCCACCAACCAGGTTCATCACACTGATATTGAGAATTTTTTCAAACTAATTTGAAGTGTAAAAAATAATCTGGGACGGTTGGAAAAGGAAGTTGATTTGATTTTGTTACTGTAATAGGGATCAATAGCGGGAATACATTAGAAAATCTTGAAGCTGTAAATGGTATCACTTATACCTAAGAGATGTCAATGCATGGAAATTTTCTGCTCTTTCGTGAAACTTAACTTGTACAATCAATGGCTGATTACATTGGCTTGCTAGACTGTTCAGATATAAATCTAATAAATTGTTGAGCCGCTTTTTATTAAGCCACCATTGGATTTATACTTTTTTTTATTGTTTAACCTTATTGATAATGTTGTTATCATTTTGTTCAGTAATCAAAATTAGTCTGTCCATAACATTGTTGGTATTGTAGGCAATAGAAGCTGCTATTGAATTCAATTTGGACAAGGTGGAAGCAGGAGCTCAGGGTGAGCACAAAATCCAGCGGGGATACTTACCTGTAACAACTTACAGCTGCCATTACATTGTTGACGAAGAGTTTCGGAAAGCTATCAAAGATTTTCTTGTACGGGAAACAGACCAGGTATTATCACATTTAATATATTTATCTCAGCTTAAGTTTTCACCAGTTCATTTTTGTTAGTGGGTTAACAAAGTGTTCCTCGGATTTTAAATTGGATGTGAAAGCTCTTGCATAATTTATTCTCAGCCTATATAATTACCTATCTTTTTAAAAAAATAAAAATAAAACCATGATTAAGCACATGGATGGTCGTATTCTTCCAATTACCCCCTGTCACTGGTTTGGATGGAAAAGTGAAAGGGAAAGGGAAGGGAGGGAAGAAAAAGAAAGGGGGAGGAAAGGAAGGCAGGGACAAGGGAGAACATAAGGTTACATTTTCTTTTTATCTTTCCAAGATTGGAAGGATTTAGTTTATTAAAGAGGGAGGAAAAATGAATCCTTCCATTTTCCTTCCCTTCCCTCCTACCAAATGTTATCCAAAGGGTGGATAAATCCCTTCTTTTCTCTTCACTTCCTTCCAATTTTCTCCATCCAAACATTTAAGTTATCTTCTACCTTTTGGAGGATAGGAGTGTACACGGTTTCTGTATTTTCTTACAGGATTTATTGGTTGTAACATTTTTATTAAAAGTTACTGTATTAGATTTAAAACAAGGTTAATCTGTGAGTTGTCTTTTAAAACTATCCACGATAACTATGGTTGAAAAAAAAGTACCCAGTATTCCTTTAGCAAATTTGGCCATGAGCATATTGGAGAAGTCTACTATGGTATTCTTGGTTGGATGAAGGGTTTTGTAATCCATTGCTTACCATCAAGTACTTTAAGGGTGTATTTGGTTTAAGTAAAGGTATGAGGCACTCCCTCCATCCCTCTTTTATAGCCCCATTTGACTAATAAATCTCACATAAAGTGGGTCCATGGTATGAAAAAAAGAATACCGAGGGAGCATGAGTTTAGAATGAGTTGAACCAAGTGCCCCCCCCCCCCAAATAAAGAGGCTAAGAACAAAAAAAAAAGTAGTAGAACAGTAAATGTGGGTTGATGGTTTTAATTAATATTTTCTCCATCTCATAATAGGAAAAATTAGAAAAAATAATCCCAACTTTCATCAATTTTGGTACAATAATCTCAACTTTGGATTATTCTGAAATAATCCGAACTTTAGGGGGTCTTCATTTTCTTCAATCCCAAACCGGTCAACGTGAGTCAACAACCTTTAATAAAAGGTCACCATGACACGTGTCAGCTTGTCATTGGTCCAAAAAAAATAAATTAAAATAAAAATAAAAATTCGCCCCCCAAACCACCAGTTCCCCCCACCTAAACCACCCCCTCCACCAGCCCCTCCCCTACCCTTTCCTCTAGCCCCCACCCCCGAAAATACCCCCACCCAGCCGGAAAACTCCCCCCCACCCCTCGACCACCACTCCCCACCCTCCCCCTCCCTTCCCCCACCCACGAAACCCTCCCCTCTCCCTTCCCCTACCCTGTAAAACCCCTCCCCCCCCCCTCCCTTCCCTCACCCCGTAAAAACTCCCACCTCCCCTTCCCCCACCCTCGAAAACGGCTGGAAATTAAGCCCCCTTGTCGTTTCCGGCCGTTTTCGAGGGTGGGGGAAGGGGAGGGGGAAGTTTTTACGGGCTGGGGGAAGGGAGGGGGTTTACGGGGTAAAGGAAGGGGAGGGGGAGGGGGTTTTCGTGGGTGGGGGAAGGGAGGGGGAGGTGTTTCGGCTGGGGTGGGGGAGGTTTTCCGGCTGGGTGGGGTTGTTTTCGGGGAGGGGGGTGGTTTGGGTGGCGATTAAGGAGGAAGGGGTGGGTTTTATGTTTTTTTTTTCAAAGTTTTTTTTTTAATTTTTGACAAATCATGTGCTAACACGTGGCTTTTAAAAAACATAAAAAAATTAACCTTCTCAACAGGTAACCGGTCATTAGGACTGAAGAAAATGAAGACCCCCCAAAGTTCGGATTATTCCAGAATAATCCAAAGTTGGGATTATTGTACCAAAATTGATGAAAGTTGGAATTATTTTTTCTAATTTTTCCTTCATAATAATCACAACATTGTAATATTTTCATAACATTTTGACTGATAAATATGTCAACGTCAGCTTTGACCATTAATATTTATAATTTTATTTTAGAAAGAATTATGGAAGGTTGGCGTAATGAAAATATACCTAAAGAGTGCTCAAATAATATTTTACATGCTAACAAATGTTTTTTTGTATAAATGTAAAAAAGTATAGTTTAAGTATTGCGATTATTATGAAACGGATGTAGTAATTTTATTATGTTATTAGATACAAGAATTGATGGCCACAACCAATCAAATTCATCTTATTTATATTATGGGTTTAATGATCTGTTGATTATTCCTCAGATGATGCTTGTGATGAAGGTATTGCGTGAATCTGGGCCCTTCAAAGATGATATAAAATGGGACATTAAAGAATAAATACGCGCTTCTTCTTTAGATTCATTGGGGGCAAGATACAGCTTAGTTCAGAGAACTACCATGCGCATATATACAGAAAACAGAGCATTGTAAATTACAGAAAATGAATACCTAACGTACCTTGAAACCTATCCTTTAGAATATGTACATTGCTAAAAAAAAAAAAAGTATACTATTATGAAACCTATTCGTGTGGCCTGGAGAATCAGTTCTTCGGTCCCTCAATGCTTCATGTTCAGGATGTGTAAAAAAATGCTCGAATTGAAATGACTTGTGAAGTTCCTACACTCAGCTGTTTCTAAATAATTGTCATATTTGATTTTTTTTTAATTATTTATATAACTATTTTTTTAATGGAAAATGTTATACATAGCCCTCAGGGCTACATATAAGCATTAAATTTACACATGAAAATCGTAAAAAGTTAAGAAATCATCAAAATATAAATACTAATAACACTGATTTATGTGTGTTTTTGTCATAAATTCCTAATTTTATACAATTCCCAAGAGTATATTTAATGCTTATATATAGCCCTTTACCCAAAATTTTATGCTACATAATATCAAATTATTTTATACTTTTTTTTTACTAACATATAATACTACCTCCGTTAACTATTATTTGCAACAAAGGGTATTATTTGTGAGATATAAAATATTCCTTTGTTGCAAATAATAGTTAACAGAGGTAGTAATATATATCTAAGGTCAAACTAGTGGATTGACTTATGTGTCAAATTTAAATGTGTCAATTATTTAGGAACAGATGAAATATTAAAATAATCTCATTTTGGTTTGTAGATATTAGTTGTATTGATTATAGGGGTGAGCAAGACCGGGTACCCGATGAAAAAAAGTGGAACTGGTATTGGAACTGGTTACCACCGGGTCCGAGATATTTCGCTGTCATAACACAGAGTAGCAAGCAATTACAACTTCAATAAGCAAAGTAAGAATCCACACAGAGTATATTGCATAATTTTCGTTCCCTACCTTCTCTAATTGTGCAAGAAGAAAAAAAAATAATCACTCACAATTTTACATTATCAAAATAGGTGAAATAAAAAGAAAAAAGATGCAATGATGAAAAAGTATTTAGAAAAAAGAAAGTTTGAGGTAGTGGAACTATGGAAGATTGAAGAAAGAGGAAGGGAGGAAGGAAGAGAGGCGTGAGGTTGTGAGAAATTGAAAATGAGGGGAAACTTGAGAGGGAGTACGTGTGAATGGGGAGTTTGAGAATTTTTAGGGTTGGTTGAATGGGAGTGGGCCTATCATATTATATAGGCTTCAAAAAATTATCTACAGTTATTTTTTTTTATAAAAAAAAACCCACCTAGTGAGTACCAGGTCCAAAAATTCAAGACTTTGAACTGGTCCCAGTTCTAATTGGGTCCATATTTTTGGAATTGGTCTTGGATCAAGTGTAACCAATTCCGGGTCCGGACCCACACACCGGGTCTAAACCAGTTCCAGTTCTGGAACCAGGTATCCGGAATTTTTGCGCACCCCTAATTGATTATGAGGTATGGGATTGGATGAGTTAAATGAAGGAATTGTCTGTTATGGACTTGTGCAATTACTAAACATAACATGAAATCTATTATGGATAAAAAAAAATTTATAAGGTCATGAAATGAAATGTAAACTTGTTATTAGACCCTTTTTATATCCATGTTTAAATGTTGATTGTTAATCTACCTCCGTTTCATATTTTTTACCACTTTAGGGTATTATTTGTGACATGAAAAATATTCTAAAGTTGTAAAAAAATATAAAACATAGGTATTAAAACTTTTAGTGGCATTATAATTTAGCGAAATTTTAAATCAAATTTAACTAATATCTAACCAGAGTGAATTGAAAACCTCAATGCCCAAATAATCATTTTCAAAACTTTTTATACAATAGTGGATCGAGAAAAGTGTAACTCAAAAGAGACAGTTTTTTTAAATAAATTTCTAATCGTTAACTGATCCAAAAGTTATTTAAGAATCTCTACTGTTTCAGGGTTTTCTATGTCTTTTGGGATAGTTACAACGCCAAGACTGGGATCAGCTGTATGTACCTGCAATACAACGAGACTCTAGGTGGTTGGAGTTCTGCATCCGACGATCAGAACGTGCACAGAGTATGTAAAAAGGTGCATAAATGGTTAAAGTGAGGATCTTCTCGGATTCTGAGATCAGGTGTTTTTTCTTATGTGAGAGAATTCATATGATTGTAATAAATGAACGTGCCTCAAAATAGGGGAAATTATCCTATTTATAAGGTCATTGGAATATGCGCCCCTTAGGTCATTTTGACCTAATGGGCTGTGCCGTTTTTGCGACTTTCTAGGAAATTGGGCCCTGAAGGTCGCCATTTACTTGCTGACTAGGGATGCCACGTGTCAGGATGTGAGTGCCCCATGTTAGACCTGTTTTGGGTTTACACATGTCCCTTTCTAATTAGGCCACATGACATTTTCCCGCACAAGGGTGACGTGGCGTGCCACGTGGCGCCTGTTACAGGCGTCACTCTAGGGTTGGTGAACGGTTAAAACTATGTCACCTTATGAGGAAATTACGGACATGCCTTCTTTTTACCCTTCTATAAATAACCTTTGACCCCCCCCCCCTCATCCTCTCTCATCTTTGACCATTTCCTAAGTCTAGGGAGAGAAAGAGAGATTTTTTTAGAGAGAGAGACTCTGATCACCGTTTGTAGGAGGTTTTGTGAATTTTTAGTCTGCCTTTACGTTGACTCAGCGGGTCACCGCTTGAGACGTGTTTCAACAAATTTTCTAAAGGTAACCATCTCTCCTCTTCTATGTTCTTTCAAACTTTTTTCCATTTGTGCATATAGTTTTTCAATAAATGGATTCACCATCAACACACATGACATAGCTTAGGACAGTAGTCAGTCGTTCTCCTGGTATAGTTGAGTTTAGGATTGGGGGTGCCGTCTCTAGATGGATGGACCTGCTTTTCTCATCCTCGAATCCCTTCGTCTCTGTGTCTGGCAGGACACAATGCCGAGGGTAAAACAGACGGCTACAAAGCCATGAAGGAGAAGGGACACTTTAGAAGTGTCGGCTGACGAAATTACCCCATATGGGGAATATGAAAAGTCGGATGAGCAAGTAGAGTCTCCTCTGGGTGCCCCACCACTCCCAGCAGTAGAATATTAGAGGAGTTAATCGGTGAAGAATCCGTCTCTGCTCCTAATGGTAATGAGCCTAGTTCAAAAGACGGTGAGGAAGCCACTCAACGGTCCTGATGTCCAAAGGGGCCTTTATGGACAATCCTACAGAAATCTGGATGGCTGCCAAAGATAGAATAACTCTTAAGGCTAGCAGTAATACCCCATATTTTTAATGTATTTTATATATTATGTATTTAATTATAAAATATATTTTGGGTCAAACTATATTAATTATTATATTATAAATAAAACAATAATTAATATTTGGATCAACAAATATTTAATCCATACGTAGCCCATCTTCATAATAAACCCAACCATTCTATTTTCATATTTGGACTACCTATTCTATTATTCAAGTCCACAATTTTTATAAAGCCCAAACCTATCCTAAACAACTCTACACTATAAATACTCATTCAATCTCTAAAATTTTCCCTTACAAAATTCAAATGGTCCAAGTTATTTATTTTCTATTCCCCTTTTTCCTTTCTTTTCTTCTTCTTCTTTCTTTTCTCATTGTTTCTTTCTTTCTTTTTTTTTTTTGGTTTCCCTTGTTTCACGTGGGATTCACACAAGGAGTTGGGGTGCTTTCTTCCTCACGACCCCACCCACCGGAACCCACCACCGACGCCAAACCAATGGCGGCCGGCGACCATACCAGTCGGCCACCACCGTACCACCTTCATTCTCTCTCTCTCTCTCTCTCCTCCTTAATTTTAATTATCTTGACAATTATATGTATGGGTTTTGGTTTTCATTGTTTAAAGTATGTTTTAGCAGTATTAAAATCATATATTAATAGTTTTAATTTTATTTTCAGATTTTGATATGATTATAAGTTAGGGTTTTAATTTATTCAAGACTTGATTTTTAGGGTTCTTGTATAAATTAAGTTGGGGCTTTTATATACTCAATGTATGTGTGGATAATTTAAGTATAAAGACGTATTTTGATGAAGTTTTTAAAGGGTTTTTGATTAGTTTAAAATGCTGGAATTTTATTAAAGTTGTATAATTGCGGTTTTATGAAAAGGGTTTAATAACCCATTAAAGAAAAGATTAATTAAGGGTTTAACTATAATTTTCAGATTATCACAAGTTGTTTTAAATGAGTTTAAGTTGCTAAAAATTGTGTATACAAGGGTAATTAATATAGTATTATTGTCCCTTTATATAGGAGACTTGGTTCGAGAGGTGTTGTAGTGTATTTGGCCACTTTAAGGGCTTAATTAAGGTACGTACGTGTACTCAAAAATTTATTAAGCGTGTAGAAACATGCTAGGATTTACTTAATTGATTCCAAGTTAGTGTCATTCTAGAATTGGTTGGAATGGTTGAATTGAAATGGTATTGGTGATTTGAATTGGATTGATCAAATTGAGAATGGTTGTGGTGAATTATTTTTGAAGCATGATTGGTTGAAATAAGTAACTTATTGGAATTATTGGTGATGTTGGAACATTGTCATTGAACCATATTTTTATTATTGGCACGTTTGAAGGTTTATTTAATTAAACTATATGTTTAATTTGATTTGGAATATTAAAAAGGAAATTTATTATAGTTCATATAATTTTTATTGATGCTATAAGCATGAGGAAAGAGCTATTTAAGTGTCTTTGTACACGAGGAATAAATTATATTTTTGGTGTCTTAGTGCACTTAAGGTGTTTTCAACACCGAGGGATAGGATTTGTGGCGCATTATGCGTTTAAAGTATCTTTGACACCGATGTAGATTTAAAAAGGGTTCAACATTAAATATTATGTAGTCACTAATTATTCAAGAATTAAATTGGCATTTTTGATTGTTTGAATAATTAAGATTATTGTTTGTGTTATGGTTTGAGAGTCATCACCAAGTTTAATAATATGTAAATCAACGTAAAGTGAAAGAGATTACGCACCAAAACTTTTGGAACATATATACCTTGAGTATGAACATATGGGGGTCGTTATGCGACTTTATATTTGACCATAGCATATGGTGTTTGGATCATAGAAAAATGTTAGGGATAAAC